TTACGATTAAAATAATTTATAAATTTAATTAGCAGTTATAAATGAAACGAATTAACTAGAATCGTGATCGAGTTTTGTACTAAATTTTAATGTAGAAAGTAAATAATAAAAGTAATAATCTAATACGTTTGCAGCTGCATAAACATGTATACGTTATATTTAATTATTAAGAATATTAAGAGGCGTATGGATTAAAGTAAAGAAGCAATACTTTCGTATCTAAGTCAACTTCTAATCATAAGAAAAGCCTGGAAAAATTTGAAGTCGCTCGCTCTCTCTCTCCCCTTTATAAAATAAAATTTTACCTGTAAAATTATTAAACCGCAAAGTTTATACATAATATTTACTCACTTTTTTTCTTATTATTTACTCCAGTAGATAAAAATTTAATTGATCGATGCTGACTTTTATCACTATTCGGTAGTTGCGTGTATACGCATAAGTAGCGCATATATCTCTCACCTTCTTATTTAAATTAAAAATATCTTATTCCAAAAAATTCCTAGGCAAAAATCAAAGAAAAATTTAGCAAAGTTTTCAAAATACATGACAAGAAGTTTAGATGAATTCAAATTTTATATTATCTACCTGATTAGATGATTTTATTAGACTAATATTTTAGAAAATCTTGTCAACAACACTTCAAAAACTTTCGCTGTTGTGAGTCGTATCGATAATGCTAAATTATTCAAAAAAAATTTATATAGTTATATAAACTTATGATTTAGAAAAAAAAAATTAGCTTGCCGATGATTTAATGTAGGATTTCACGTGTTTATTATAATTATTAATTGCTTATTTATTTATATCTAACTCTAATTATCCACACAAATCAAGAAGTTTTAATAAGGACTTAGTAATACTTGCCTCATAAATAGCTGAATGTCTAATTATTTTGTCGACAATTTAACTTTTAAACTACCAAATTAATCAATTGGCATTTAATTAACTTCCTCCTTAATTTACCTTTTCACTGAAGAAACGTCGAAAGTTTTTATTTACTTTTAAACTACATTTTTTTAATGTTTTTTTTTTCAGTGCGAAGGAATTTTGTTTGTCAAAATTCATTCCTTTCGAGCTAATATTTTAGCACTTTCACTCGAAGCTTCCTTTCCTTTTTTTCTCTAAAAAAAAAACTATTTTTTAATTTGTAACATTTAATTAAATTAATATTAAAAAATTGTTTACATTTTTCTCGGTAGTAATATAATATCTTCTATTCAGTTTATAACTTTTATAGAATTTTAATTCGCTCGAAAATATTTATTCTTTATTTATTTATTTATTAAATAAAAATATTTAAAAAAATAATAGTAAATTAACAGCTAATAAAAGTTGTTTTAAGAGTTCTTAAAATAAAACTTTTGTATCACTTATTTTGCGCTTCATTAATCAAGAAGAATTGAGTGGATTAATATTCGAAAATATAGAAAAAAATTAATTTTATCGACTTTTTATGTATTAAAAAAATAAATAAAATTTACATTATTTACCATTTTTAAAAAGTCAAAGTGTAGGAAATGAAATCAAAAAAGAAAAAAAAAAGTGTAANGGAATTTATAGTCTATATAATAAGGAAAACGTAGAAATCCAATAATTTTTTTTCTTTTTCTAAAGGATTTTTTTTTCTTTAATACTTCTAAAAATATCATAACAACTTAAAGCATTTAAAATAATATTTTATAAATATATTTTTATTTTACTTATTCGTCTTTTATTATTGTTATAAAGAATGTTTTTAGTCGCTTAAAAATCATAAATTTTTTAAACAGTTCGCATAAAGACTGCAGGCAACAACAGAACGACTCGTCAACACTTTTTACTTTCCAGATTTTTACAAAACAAGAAAATCAGTGTTAAAGAGATTTTCATTTAATTTTTTTTTGTGGTTTATTCCCACTTTACCCTCGGGAAATTATCACTTACAACATATTCCACATTCAGTTTATATCCGGAAAAAACTTTTCTTCTCTACCTCTTTACGTCACAAAATATAAATATCTAAAACAATTTTAAAATATAGAAAATGAAGATTATTTTTTCATACATAAAATTAATTATAAATAATTTATTAAATCGACGATAATCGTGTACGTTTTTTTTTCTTGTTTTACAGTGCTCGTCATCCACATCAAAAGGACATACACTGTTAAGTCGTTTAATAATTTTTTTTTTAAAAAAACTAAAAAGGTTATCTACTTCCCATAAAGGGGAAGAGAAAAAATATCAAACATAGCATAAACACCAGATGTAAGATTTGTGCAGATTAAAGTTAACAGCGATACCAGTTTGGCGTGAAAGAATCTCAAGAGACTTTTTTGAGGATAAAAAACACGCATATTTATAAAGAAAACAAACATTTTTGTGACAAATTTCGAAACGTCACAAGCTTTAAATCCTCAAGGCGTTCGTGTAGATGAAGGAATTATAAGAATATCCAACATTTAAAAACAAAAAAAAACAATATAACTCTTACTCCTTTCCTGTAAAACTATTACAGAAATCGCTGGCCAATCTATCAAACAGTAAAAAAAAAAAAAAAAAAAAAATATTCAATTTTTAGATAGTTATTTTGCTTTGTCCGGGAATTTTGCTTTTTTTTTGTTTTGTTTTTAGTTAATTACGTGACGCTAAGTTTAATTATCAAACTGGAAATTTGAATTCTCTTATCGTCCTGGAGGATTTTATCTTCCCAGATGAAAATGTATTAAACTAGTACAAACCATATAATGAGTTATAAACAATTAAATTTATTTAAATCATTAAACCCTTTCTTCTTCTTTTTTTTTTCTTTATTAGTATTAATTAGAATTATATTTTCTATTAATGTAAATTATGCCAAATGTAAAGTATATAAATATTATAATTAATATTAATCTTCTAGAATGGAGAATATCTAAATCTTAACATGTAATATCCCTCATTTAAATAAATTTGTCTGTAAAATTTTTCATATTGCTTCGAAGTAAAGCACTCGATTGTTAATTTATTACAAAATTCGAAAGGGCATACTTTCTTCTTGACATTTAATACTTTTTAATTAAATTTCGATTGCTTTCTTCATATTTTTATACTCATAAAAGGTGAAAGAAATTAAAATTAAATCTAACGACGTGCTTATCCATATTATACAATCTCCAGAATCTTTTCTATTAACATAGCAATTGACCCTTTGAACTAAAAATTCATTTTTTTTTAAGTTTAGATAACTTAACTCTCTTTACAGTAAACTATATTAAAAATTCCATTTAATTAGTATAATTACTTTAATAAGTGCGCCGAAACTAATAACTGACCCACTTTACACAGAATTAGTATAATGGAGACATTATTTAAACTATTGAAAAGAATGTTTTAAAAGAACTCCGACAACAATTCTACATTTAAAAACTATTTTTCTAAATAAGAAATTTTTAAATAAATAAATTCATCCCATACATTTCTACTTTTCGAATATTAATAAAAANTTTCTTTTTTTTTCCTCGAGTTGTTATAGTGACGTGACGCGTGGTGACGTGTTTAGTCTCGATGGAGATAAAAAGGAAGTGACGAAGACAAGAACATTAACGACGTTTTCTGTTTACAATGGATGATAAATTTTGCTTTCAATACTCAATTTGCTATTAATAATAATTGTGATATTCGAAACGAATAAAGAAAAAAAAAAAAAAACATTCTCGACCATCTTTTAATGTTTTGTTTATATCAGGCGCTAAATACAATACTACAATTAGCGCCATCTCTTAGCAACTACTTATAATTGCTCAAACTTAGCCTATTGTTCGTGACATTAAGTGTTTTTCTGGATTTAATACTGACGAAGAAGTTGCATTGATTGTTGTATTTAGAAGAGTACAAACTCCAAAATAACAAATATTTAGTAAATAGTTTAAGGTCAATACACTTAACAATTAGAAAAAAATATATATATAAAATGTCAAGATAAAAACGTTCAAATAATAATAATTAACTCTGCATTTTGTATGGTTTTAAACTTATTTATTTGAAAGTAATCATAAAAACACGATTAAAATAAACAAACTACGAAATCATTTTTTTTTTAAATTTAAGTGACTCGAAAGTATATAAAAATAATAAATTTCTATTTTATAAATTGTTTTATAGATTTAAACGTATAAATCTCAAAGAAAATTCATCGTTTATGCTAAGTTACAAGTATATTAAGTTACTGTATAATAAATTTAGTTATTATGTAGTAAGTAAGATTTACAAGCAGTTGAGTATTGTATGTGTCGGATTGTAAAAATTTATAATAAAAGTTAAAGAATAAATATATTTCCGCTTAAGAATCTGTTGTTTTGAATATTTGAAATAGTTTTATATAAGCAAAGAGTTGATTATTTGTATTGTTTTGCGCAATATCCTGTAGACTTAGACAACATCCGGTTAAACACGTATCTCAAATAAAGTAACACACACTTATATGGGTTCATATATTATAATTTTTTTTTTTTTGTTTTTGTTCAACTCCCCAACCGAAAATTCCAGCAAGAATAAGAAATATAACCTACAACTGTTGGCAGTCCTGATGGTAATTAATTTCCAAACGCCTCTTCCAGAGAAAGTTTGCTGTTTGCCACACTCGTAAATCTGTAGATTTTTTTTTTTAAATAGAAAGTTGAATTACTTAAGCGATTCGAATGAATTATTCAATAGATAAATTCAACCGTAGGACATTCTAAAAAAAAAAAAAATTATTCTTATACTTCCCACAGAGCTACATCATTCGTAATAATATATATTTGAATCTTTCACGCTTCTCGATTCTAAATTTTATTACTTTCTTCGATGTTATAATTAATTTTATTTTTATATTTGTAAATCATTTTATCGTATTGAAAAGTAATTAAATTCTGTAGGAAAATAAACTTTTCTTTATATAATTTTTATCAATAAAACGATTACATCAATGTACAGAATTAATCTTTTGTTATCTGATTAGCATTAATAAAAAAGGAGCGAAGTTCGAGCAGATTACAGTACATTGTTTCATAAAGTGCATTGTCAATACTCTGAAATCGTTCACTTTCTATAGCGAATTTAACAGTAAACATATTTTTAAAATGACTTCTATAAAATATATAACGATAGACGATTCCATAGACAAGAACGAGAACCACCCTCCTGAAGACAGAAGGTTAAATCTTGCTTACGAGGATTTAACTGAAGTTCCTTGTTCTTTGGCTGATAGATTTGGTTGGTGGGTACAAATTTTAGATTTGAGCTACAATAAAATTAGGTAAGTTAAATTGTCATTAAATTATTTCTCGTTTTTAATTTGACATTTACAATTTTATTTATTAAGTTATTTTCCTAAATTTTAAGTTTTACAAAGCAATGTCATAACGCAATAACCTTTCTTATCTTTATTTTTCTATAAATCGAAATGTTTATCTCCGTTCTTAAGAAATATCAATCAGATTTGTTCAACCTCCATCGAAAGATTGCGATACTTGAAGTAACTTATATAATTTAATCTCTTTGATTGGATACTTTGTCTTAAATATTGAAATTTTCCAAAAAAATAAATAATTTATTTAATTAATTTTTTACGTTATAACGTCGAAACAATTTACAGATGATTTTTCTTTCTAAAATATAAATTATAACAAGTTAAACGGATATAAAACTTAATTATTCGGTCAATAATGTATGTCGAACCTCAACCTTTTCTCTTTCGCGTGATTTTGAATATGGAAAAATAGTTCGCGATCTACCAGTTGACACATTCAGATGTACAGCGTCTAATATAAAAGTTATCGGACATATTTGTAAAATTTGTTTTTTTTTTTCTTTTTAAGAATTAATGAAGCCTTATTTAAAGCTGACTTAAAATGCCATTATAGATTAAATTTAATCAAATTATTATATTTTTTTTCATGTAGCGACGTATCGTTTCTGGCATATTTCGAGCGTTTACACACGGTCATTTTGGACAGAAATCAAATCAATTCGGGAACAAGATTCCCTCAGATTCCATCATTAAGAATATTATGGTTAAACCATAATCGCATCTCCAGTTTGGTGGCTTTCTTGCCCAATTTATCAAAAAATTGTCCAAATTTAGAAAATCTAAGTCTAATGGGGAATATTGGAGCTCCGAGTTTTTTGAATGGAGCAACACCTAATCAACATTTTCATTACAGGTAAGAAAAACACTTAATTAAAATTGGATATAGTACACGCGTAACTAGATACAACCTGTACATATTGGATGAAAATTTCAAAAAAAGTCAAGGTGAATTCTGCATCCTCTTTCATAATTTTAAATTTACTACCTTGGAAAAAGGTTAGACGTAGACATAATTTTTTCTTATAAATTTATAGATTTTGAAGATTTTTAGTAATTATTTATCAGATTAATATTTTAATAAATTATTTAATTATAAAAAAAAAACCTAAAATTCAATTACGAGATAAATCAAATTATTATTATTTTTTCTTCTTTTTTCTGCCTTAACAACAATCGCTCAACAAAGAAAAATTCCTACGATTTAACATTTAATAAATGTTATAATTTATAAATATAGACTTAAAATTCAATAAAGTGAATTTTAAAATTTTAATTTCGTTGGAAATTTAGTTTAAAAATCGAATTAAATATTTAATTTATTTTGTTATTTTTTTTTTCTAAGATAAGTTTCGAATAATTTTTCCAACGAAATTATTGTTTTATAAAAATAACAATTACCTAAGATTGCTTTCCTAATTAAATAATAGATAATTAATTATCTTATCTTGTTAAAAATGAATAATTTTTAATAAAATAGTGGCGATTAAATATCGTTTCTTTTTCGTTTTATCTGATGGTCTGGCCTCATAAAAAAACGTGATGTTTATCGGCGATGTGTGGTTTGAGTAGATCCTTCTATGCCCTGTTTTTCACATTTTAAACATTATGGAGAAATTTATAGAGGTATTTTCTAGCACGAGTATATCTTCAAATGTCTTCTCATCACTCCAAAGTGGACGATCAATTTAATTAACTCTGATTGATTCGGAGTTGAGTGGCATCTTACTTATCAATGCGCTTGCTCCGACAACTTACTTTGCCAATTAATGAAGTGAGCGGGATCTCACGTCTTTCCGTTATTACTTACACAAAGTATTGATGAAGCACCTGCTATGAAAGCTCTAAATATGGCTAAACGTTAAAAGAGAAATTTGACTCCCCGTTCGACCCCATAATTAAACAAAATGCTAAGTAAACAGTGGCGAATGCGAAGCTTTCTTTGTTCTAGTTTTAAATATTAATGTTATTACTATAACACTGAATATATATGACCCGTTAGCAATTGCCATATCTACTTCTAAGAAATGTTTTAAGTGTATTATTTCTAGGAAACAGGTCCCGATGATATATCGCCGAAATATCGTTTATCACAGCTAGATTTATTGAGGCTACGAGAGTTAAGATTTGAATAAATATTTGTTTATGCTACTAAAAGTTGTTTAAGATCCTCTTTCTTCCTTCTCAGGAATATTTAAAAGAATACAAATCTTTCAAAACACCGTAAACACACAATCTGCAAAATTGAAAGAACATCGAAGAGCCAAGCAACTTCTATACTTCAACATTAAAAAAAAAAGAATTAAATACATGTCAATAGAAAAATATGATTTTAAAAACGTGAAGGATTTTAAACAAACGTAAACGTCGATTCTCGTGAGGTCTAATTAAAATCCTTTCGCATTTCACGTATTTTTATATAAACAATCGTCTTAATTCTAAAAAAAAAATGTAGGTTTGCGGTAGAAATTTTAAAAAGGCCAAAACAGATTTAGATTCTCGTCCACGCTCCAAAGTTTGCACCATTTGTTTATTAGCGGTCGAGCCATAGAGTAGCGTGTTATAAGCAACGGCACATTACCTATGACATAGTGCTTAATGGGAACGAATACTGTAAATCAGCTGTAGAAACGAAACAGCTTGTAGACTTAAAAAACAGACCTTGCTCGGTCACTGCCTTCCAGACACTCCAATGTTTAATGGGTGGTTGTGAAAATAAGATTTACACTACTTTTCTTTCTGCGAACTTACCTACAAAGACTATCATAAATTGTCGCTTATGCAGCCATCATTTTTTATTACTTTTTATTTTATTTATTTCGAAATACGACTCGAACCCTTTTCACGTGGTACCTTTGAGGAATTTTTTGCTAAATAATTTGTAAAGTGTTCGTTACAAAAACACTTCAGCTTTATCAATTATAAAAGTGTAAATTACGCATTTAAATAATATAAATATGAGTTTTATTTTTATCGATAAATTAAACGTTTGTTAAACTTTAATACGTAAAAAATTGGAGTTTTTTTTTTATAGATAACTTAAGGGAGAAAGATGGTAGATTTTTTTTTTATTTTTAGTTTTTTTCTTTTAGAAAAGATTAGTTGGTTAGTAGTGGCAGGAGAATCGAGCAAACAAGAAATATTTTTTTTTAATTTGGTATGGTTTAATTTTGGGATTTTTCTGGGATCAAAATCTTAGTTTAAACAACAGTTTTCGACCGATAAAGACAAAAGAGATTGTAGAAGCATTTACGCACTTTTGGGATTTTTCTCAATCGATTAAACAGATTTTTTTGATGTTGATGCGGGATTTATTGCAATTCAAATTAGTCGTTTTACAAGTGTTAAGGCTTGTTTTGTATTTGGAAGTATAACATTTTCGCCACTTCGAATTGTATCGGGCAATAACGGAAATCCTTTAAGACTTCAAATAACTACTTGAAAAACAGAAATTAAACGTCGACAAATTAAATATAAATGAAAAATTTGAAATTCATTCGTGGCTACGAATCAATTCAATCTTTTAAAATACTCGTTACGACCAAACAAGTTACTTTCAAGCTTATACAATTTACGATAAAAATTCGTGAGATTAAATATGTTTCGAGGATTAGATAATTTTTTTGACTAGACTATTGAATTTAAATCAATTCAGATTTAGTTTTTAAGAAGAGAGAATTTTGTTTCTATTTCTTCGATTCTCATTAGAAAACTATAGAAATCTATTATGAAATAAATAATGCTGGTTATTTTTTAAAAAATATCTTTAAAAAATTATATAAATTACCACTAACCTAACCAGTGTTATTTATATCTTACAAACAATCTTTTATAAATGTTGCCAAGAATCTTAATACCTAGCACTATAATACAATTTATGACTTCAATTCACGCACAGATTAAATTTCAACAACTGCATTTTAACATCATTGTGACAAGATAATTATAAGGTCAACTCTTGAAAACGGTTTGGGAGTTTATGTAGACTGAAACGATTGCAATCTTATCATTAAAATCCTTAAAAATTTTAATAAAAAAACGATTAAAGTCAATAATATTGTGTATAATGCGCGGCGCAACTTCCGCGATTATTTGTTGCTAAGGCTAAGTTTTTCGATAACAAAATAGGTTAATGCGGATAAAATTTAATGATATAAGAATATTTGATCGACGTGGCCTGGAAAATACAATAATTTTTGATAGTCATAAATAATAAGAAACCATAAATCAATCCGAGAAGTGACAATATAGTATAGAAATTCTGTGAAGCAATTTAAGGGAAATAACAGAATAAAGTCATAATTGAACTTTAAAAAATGCCTATATATTAGAGTTTTATTGGATGATTACTTCTTTCTATAACAGTTATAACAAGACGCAATATAATTGGCTACAATGGGACATTTAGTTACCTTAAGGTCAGAGGTCAGCCTCTACAATAACTCTTACTAAGAACTGTGGGAATTGATATAGTTCAATTGACCTCTGTTAACTATTAACGAATGGGAACATACTTGGCATTCTGTCATTTACAACCTTTCATTATTTGTAGTCAGAGTTTTTTTCATATTTTCCCACCAAAAATACTTATAATTTTAATATAAATAAATGATTTAAAAAGAATTCTATTTTCTAAAAATTAATTTATTATTCTCAAAAGTATCTAAAGCATAAAATATATAAATTTTTTATAGAAGAAAATATTTTGATATTTATTTTGAAGAAAGTAAATTAAATTTTATTTAAAATAACAATAATAACATTTTGCCATAAGCTGTATAGGATTGTTAAGCTTATATTGTAACATTAATCAAAATTTTTAGATAAAAAAAATTATTTAAAACATATTTAATTAAATAACCTTCTAAAGAGATTGGTTATTAAAATGAATAATTCATATAAAATAAAATAAAATAAAAAAAATTCTAATTTAACAAACGAATCGAGTAATTAAATTTTAATAATTATTATTCTTTTTTTTGCCAGTTAAATTTTATAAATATACGAGTATTATTTAAAGAATATTGAAGTTAGAAAGTATTATACAAAACTGTATGAATATTTAATTTATGTACATTTTTCTCTTATTTTTATCACAATTAAATACCGAATAAAACGTTTACACCTTCAAAAAATTGCATAAATGTGTACATAAATAATACATGAATTTTTTAAATTTTTATATCAATTTTTAGATGCAATCTTAATCTATAAAACTCTAATTAATTATTATCAAATTTTTTTAAATTTTATTCTCTGATTAAATAACGTAATTATTTATTTCTTTTGTTAATAAACCGACGTTTGATAACTTCAAAAAATAACAATTATATATGCTAATAAGATTAACTAATTTTTAATTTATAAAAGAAAGAAAAATAATAATAATAATAGAATAAAAATAAAAATTAGCTCTTTGCTCCAATTGCTCTCATCAAATTTATTTTGTATATCAATTCCTGCAAGAACCTGTTTAACCGCAATTTTGTATAATGTTGTTGTTATTAACATGCTACTATAGCATTAACGTCATTAACTATCGAATTATAATAATTACGTTTCTGCCAATGCCAACCCTCAATTTATAATCGCTTACTATTGAATATGGAATTGTGCCCCCTTCTTTGCATTTAATCTAAAAGTATACCAGTTTTATTTATTTATTTTTTTTTCAAGTTTATCGCATTAATTTCTATGATTTTTTTTAAAATTCTAGAAACAACAAAGAGCAGCCAATCGATTGTTTAAATATTGTACATTTAAAAAATATTGATACAATTTAAAAATTCATTAAAACCGGAAATTGATTCAGAACTTGCAGACATTTTTATATGCAAATATAACAATAAAAAATTA